TGGACAGTCGGGTTGTGCATAAGTTGGTAGATGATATTTGTTGCAAAAGCAATATCCGGCCTTGTCACCGTGAGGTATTGTAGTGATCCAGCTAGCTAACGATAGAGAGTTGGGTTGTCATATGAGGTGAGATTTGGAACCGTCCAAGAGCTCTTGGGAGAAATTGGCGTGCTGACTGGTTTGCACATAGCAAGACCCGAAGACTGCATAATGTCTCTAGCATAGTGAGACTGATGCAGAAATTCCCCATTTGATGTGTACTGTAATTGAATTCCAAGGAACAGTTTAGCCGGGCCTAGCTGCATTAGAGCAAATGTGTTTTGTAGTTTAAAGAGAAGTGTCTCAATGGTTGGAGGATGATTTCCTTTTAAAAGCAGATCATCAACGTATATCAATAGATATAGTTGAATATCTTGAGTGTGATATACTAGTAAGGAAGGATTCGCTTTGCTGAACCGAAAGCTAAAGTGGATGAGGAAGTTGGTGAGCTTGTGGAACCACTGACGTGGAGCTTGTTTGAGGTCATAAATGGCCTTGTGGAGTTTGCAAACATGTTGAGAATGTTTGGGATCAGTGAAACCTTGCAGTTGTTGCATATACACTTCCTCTTGAAGGTCTCCGTGAAGAAAAGCGTTGTACAACAAATTGTAAGATTTTGCCAGTTCCTTTGAAGAGTTATGATCAGTAAGACTCTTACAGTTGGCATTTTTGTCACTGGGATAAAGGTGTCTTTGTAGTTTATGCCATGTTGTTGGGTGTAGCCTTGTGCAACAAGTCTTGCTTTGTTGCGATCTATTGTGCCATCTGGATGTAGTTTGGTTTTATATGTCCACTTGGAGCCAAGTGGTGTTAGGGACCATGTGCCCTGTTTTTGAAGTGCATCAAATTCAGCTGACATAGCATCTCTCCAATGTGGAATTTTGGATGCTTGGGTGTATCATGTTGGTGTGGGTACTGAATCTGTAACAGCAAGTAGATCAAATATCTTTTTAGGTTTGATATGGCATGTTTGAAGTCTTGTCTTCATGTGGTGTGAGGGAATCTGAGCAGGACATGGAAGGGAGGTGATTTGCCGAGGGTCAGTAGGAGGGGAGGTGTGTTCTGTTGGTTCATTGGCTGTGGATTGGATATTTGGTGAGGGTGATGGATGATGTGGTAGTGTTGTGTTTGGTAGGGTGGTGTAGGTGGATGTGGGAATTAATAGAAAGGGTGAGGTGGATGAAGTGGTTATAGGAGTGGTGGTTAAGTTGTTTGTTAAGGGAAAGTTTTGTTCGGGAAAGATTACGTGTTGGGATATGTGCAGTTTTTGAGTCTGAGGATTGTAGCAACAGTATCCTTTGTGAGAGGATGAGTATCCCAGAAAGATGCAGGGAGTGGAGCGAGGTGCTAGTTTGTGAGATGCTTGAGGTTGTATCCATGGAAAGCATAAACAGCCGAAGGATTTAAGGCGATCATAGGTGGGTGGGTGACCGTGAAGAGGAGTGAATGAGATTTGAGAGTTGAGAGAGGAAGTTGGCAGTCGCTTTATGAGGTAGTTCTCCGTTTGAACTGCTTCTGCCCAAAATTGTGGGGGGCGGTTGGCTGCATGTAGGAGAGTGCGTGTAGTGTTGAGGAGGTGACAGTGTTTACGTTTAGAGACGTTGTTTTGCTCGGGAGTGTAAGGACAGCTTAGCTCATGTCGGATGCCATGATTGAGAAGAAGTTGTTTGCTGGTTTGACTTGTGAATTCCCCTCCACCGTCGGATCTGAAGGTTTTTATGGTTGACAGGTTGAGCTAAATTTAGTTTTTACCATGTTGAGAAATTGTTGAAATTTAGTGAGAGTTTCATTTTTGGAGTGCATGAGATATAGCCAACAAAATCGAGTTCCATCGTCAATAAAAAAAAGTGTAATATCGACCCCCCACCGTCGGATCTGAAGGTTTTTATGGTTGACAGGTTGAGCTAAATTTGTTGAGAAATTGTTGAAATTTAGTGAGAGTTTCATTTTTGGAGTGCATGAGATATAGCCAACAAAATCGAGTTCCATCGTCAATAAAAACAGTGTAATATAGATAGCCATGTAAAGAGGAAATGGGGAATGGACCCCAAACATCTGAATGTATTAAATTAAATGGAGTATATACATGGGTAGCTTATTTTGAGAATGGTAACTTGTGGCTTTTGGCCACTTTACAAGATGTGCATAGGAGGGATGAGGAGCTATTACATAAAACTGGGATAAGCCTAGATAATGCTGTCATCGCACGGGGATGAGGGTGTCCAAGGCGAGCATGCCATAAGGAGAACAGATTTGGAGTGGTTTGTAATGCTTGAACTGGATTGCAGTAGATGGTGCGGATAAGGTAGATATCGTCGCTGTTATGGCCACGGAGTAGAATTTTGTTGTCCAGAAGATCCTTGATGACGAACCCACTGGAGTGAAAATAAATTGAGCAATTATTGTCATAGGTGAGTTTGGAAATTGAAAGAAGATTTTGAGAAAGGGAGGGGACACGTAGAAGATTGTGCAGTTTGAGCTTACGGTTCGTATCTGGTAGAGGTAAAAGGCCAACGCCACTATATTATATGGGTAGGGAAGATCCACTTGCTGTTGAGATTGAATCGGATCCCTGATAAGGAATTGAATGCTGGAGATTGACTATATCAGGTGTGAGATGCATAGAAGCTCCAAAATCGAGAACCCAGTCAGTGGTTGGGTTCAACTGAGTCTGAGTGAGTAAGGCATGAGGATTCGCTGACTGTTGCGGTGTGTAACTTGAATTGTATTTATGCCAACATGAGAGAGCAACGTGTCCTGATTTACTGCAGATCTGGCAGCTGGGTCGATGAGTTTCGCGAGGCGTATGTTGAGGCGGCCTAGGAGCAGTTGCGGGTGGATTGAAGGAGGCTCCTCGACCTCTATTGCTTTTGAAAGAAGGGGAGCGTCCACAACCTCGTGAGGTGAAGAGCGCTTGAATGTCAGGTGTTGGTGTAGTATCTTGCTAGAGCTCAGATTGAAGATTTATTTCCTCACTACATGGAGAGAATAGAGGGTCTCAAGTGTAATGGTATGAGGTGAGGTATGTATAGCTGCCTTGAACAGGTTGTATGACGGCGGAAGCCCTTTGAGAGTATACAGAATGATGTCTTCTGTGTCAATGCGGGAGCCAACATCTGCTATGTTGTCAACTAGTGATTTGATCTAAGCTAGGTATTGCGATACGGTTTGATCTCGCACCTGGACGTTGTAAAGCTCGTTCTTCAGATGTATTACTCTAGAGCGGTTGGTGGGTTGTAGTCGAAGCTCTAAAGTGGTACAAATGTCATGTGAGGTTTTCAGATGGAGGATGTATGGCAGCACTGAGAGCGATATTGTGGAAAATAGTGCGGATATGAGATTTTGGTCTATCTGTTTCCATAGTTTGTAGACGGTCGACTGCTCACTGGAACTGGTGAGTTGCGGCGGGCACTGTAGTTGACTGGTAAGGTAGCCTTTGAATACATTCGCTGAGAATGTTTGGTAGATCTGTAAACGCCATATGGCGTAGTTGTCGATCGTGAATGAGCTTGAGATTTGACATCAAGTACTTAAGAGGAGGTGGGATAGTGAAGTCCGCCATGGAGGCGAAGAGGGATGAAGTAGGTTGAGACTGCGACGGTGCAGCTTGAGGCTGAGAAGAAAAGCTTTGCTCCGTCATTGTGTTGAGAGGTAGATAGCAGTGACGCCATTTTTGCTTTGATACCATAACATAACGCCTGCATCATTAGAAGAAGAAGAGAATAGAGTAGCAAAGCATATTTCATTCTTGTATCGTGAATACATAGCTCGGTGAGTTTTAAACAAATTCTCAGGGAACAGGAAGTTGAGGAATGTCAGAGTGCCGTTAATGACAGTTTGAGAATGGTGTGTTAATGGATTAGTGCTGTTGCAGTGAGTGGAACACTTTTGTGTAGTGAACCGCAGGTGTATAATATTTAATGTGTTGATAAAATTTAGCCACCTTTCATGGCTCGGTATATCTCTGGACCATCGGGGGTACTACCTTTTCTTCTTTAATTCCCAACACCTCTTTGGGTCTTTCCCAAAAGAATTATGATTGCCTTACTCCGCGCTCTTGAGCTTCCTATGTGTCTCCTTCAACGTTATTTACTATGGTATATCCAAGATATTAGATTTTGTTTCTTCTTCATATTTGACAGGTTTCATCAGTTTTTTCTTCTCTTAGCATGTCTTCACTACCACTGATCTTTATAGGAGATAGATTCTACTCTCATGTCAATGAAAAAGATTTTATGCCTTTGTCCACAAATTTATTTCTTTTAGATGTCCTATATTTTTGTAATTTTTTTGTTAATTTACCCTTCATTCATATTCTCACCAAACATAACAACTATTCTGCAATACTTTATCCTTCGGACCTTCTCTCTATATGTTTCAAGTTCTCAGTACAAAGATGATGTCTGGTGGAGGTGTTAAAGGTAATGGAGTTTAGTACATGACACTCAAGGTTTCCTCTCTCTCTCCCTCTCTCCCTCTTTTGTTTTCACTCTCTTCTAATGGCATCCTCATTTGGCTCACCCACTACCACATTGAATTCAACAATACACTCCTATATGATCTTCAAAATTTGAATGAAATGTTTCTGAACTTGGTAAGTATCCTTAGGTATTTTTTTTTTTGCATCCATGAAAACTCGTATGATCCCTTTTAAACTGATTTATTCAACATTTGAGGTTTGAGTCTGATAAAATAAAATATTATTGGGGATAGAATCTCCTTTATTTGTTCTCAGTTTTGTACTCTGATGCATGCTTATTTATAGGATCAAACTTATTCAATAAAGACAATATCATTCCCTGGGCCACCTAATGATAGCTCTTCTATTAATGCAACCGACGGGATCACATTCCATCAAACATCTCCACCCTGATGGCTAAATCATTACATAATGGAATAATGTAGATTGTCAAATACTCACGCAGTAGAGAGGAACATGCACAGAGACTGATAGACATTACCCCCAAAAGTCCTCAACCGTTGAGAATGTATAGATGGGGCGGATGGAGCTTCCCCAGGTTTCTTGCTTGGACTTGCCTGAGGGATTGTCGAACCAAAATGTCCATGAATGCTCCAGCTCGTGCTTCTGCATAGTACTTTGAGGATTTCCTTCCGTCACCGTTGAAGCCTCTGCGTCAGTGAAAGTCTGATCTCCGGCGAAGTCCTCCTCTGCCGGTGCCATATGAATTGCCGTCTCATCAGCAGGCGAACTCTCCCTGCTCGACTCCAATGCCTCCGCCTTCTCCGCCATCTCCGTGACAGCGTGATTTGAATGGATGAATGGTATTTTTTTAAGAAGTCCATGCCCGTTATAAAGGCCCGGATACGCTCAAGGTGGCCACCCCGCCATGAGCCGCGCTCCTGGCTCATTTATCTCCCGGGGATAAGCTATTAATAGGTTCGTATTAATTTCCTTGTTAATAGAACATTTCAAAACATAACCAAAATATATATGCGGATAACAATCATGACCATGGACATGTAATTTGTATTATGTGATTTTTAAAATACGATATAAGAATTTTGGAGGCTTATTTAGTTGGAGAATTTGACTTTTTTATGCTTAATAATAACATAAGCTAAATAAATGTCAGATAAGTCATCAAAAATCATCTTGATTCACATGAATCTCGAGGTAAAGTTTAGATTAGAAAATTTCAAAATTAAATTTGGAACTATCTAAATTCCGATTTTAGAAAATTTATAGTCAAATTGAGCAATTTGATGAGAAAAATCCAACAACATCAAAATCAATCAAATCCGAGCCCAAATAGACCCAAATCAAGAGATTAACTCATATTTAGAAACTTCAAATCATTATTTAGATAATCAAACCATCTCTAAATATTGCATGCTCATAAACAAATCAAGCGGCTCGATGAGACAAATTCAACGAGCCCGAGATCACTTAATTGTCACATCATTAAGGCACTTAAATGTTTGATGAAAGCTCTATGATTAAAGGAATTAATATTGACCAATTAATGAAGCACTCTGAATTTGCTCAATATTTTCTCAATTTATGCCCCAAAAATCTATAAATAAATTCACATTCTTCACATGAAAGGGGGAAGAGAGTGAATACAAGAGAGAGCTCCCTTGCATTTTTCAGCCATGTAACGACCACTGCTAGCTATTGTCATCGATAACCAACATTGCCACCATTTTCAGAATACTTATAAGATTCAACCATATTGTTTGGTATAGCTATTCAGCTGTGGACACCTAATTTTTATAATGTCTATTCGGAAAATCAAGCCATGCTATTGGGTATAAATTATCCCTCTATGGGCATTTGATTTAGATAATCTTTATAAAAAAAAAAGTCATACACTTATTTAGTCTCCATCTTCTTGAAGAGTGAAGAAATGAGGATACTTCTATCATGTACTTCATAGAGGAATAGTCAACTGGGTCATGCCCCGTGATTTTTCCTCTTTCTAGGTTTTTCGCGTAAAAAAATATTTCTGAACTTACTACTTTTATATGTATGTACTGATTTTTTGTACAATGTTGAGACGTAAAATATACAATCTACTAACTAAAAATTTCTAGCATACAACAGTTTAGTACCATTTGTGAGAACATTCCCAACGCACTTATTTAATGGATAATAATCCATCTCTTAGTCAAGAACAACAAAATGTGGGTAATCAAGTTCCCCCATGCTCACCTTATAAAACTTCAAGCATAAGATGGAGGAAATTTAAAGTCAAATCATTCAATTATTCGAGGAAGCTGGCCAATAAAGAGAAACCTCATTGTAACAACAAACAAATATTGTTCTATCTCCTCTTAATTATCAATCATTAGTACATCAACTTTCTAGAAAATAAACAAACATTGTTCTATCTCCTCTTAATTATCAATCATTAGTGCATCAACTTTCTAGAAAATAGATTTAGGCTAGGGGCAACCTTGGATGTAATCTTAAAGGGATATTTATGCTAAAAGGTCAAACATGGTTGTGATCGAGCAAGTCCCTCTAATATATTGTGCTTCCATGGTTGTCTTTCTAACAACCACCTTTCATAAAAGCTTCCAACAAATATGAGAAGACTTCAAGTAAATCTCAAATTATGTAAAGATTCTAGTTGGATTTATACTCATTGGGCAAGGTCATAGTCTCAACCTTGAAAAGGTAGTAATGGTTTAAAGACAACCCAATATTCACATTTATTTTAAAATACATGTGGCATTTTCACCCTCTCAGTCAAAATATAATCAATTACAAGGGGTTCATTCGATATCTTTCACACAGGTTAATGCACTTAAGTAACACTATGATAAATAACCTCGGAGGTCAAATATATTTGATGGATTACTCCTAACCTCTTTTATACAAGTTAATTCAATCAAACAATGCTTTGAAGAATATTTATTTGAGATTTTTTTAGCGTGTAACTTTTTATATATTATAAAGATTAAGATTATGAACGTTTTGAATATTTATTTGAGATTTTTTTGCTTGGCTATTTTAAAAAAGTAATAATATTTAAATAATTTAAAATTTTATTTTTACATTTTAAAATAGTGTTTTAGTTCAATTAATGTTTCAGAATATTATTGTTATATATGATCATTGATAATTTGATTAATTTCTGAAAATATGAATTTATGCTCAGTAAGATTTTTTGTTGCCTGCCATTAGGACATTTTGTGCTTTATGAATTAAGCTCAATTATATTTTATTTGTTGAATGCATTGAAAATGAATGTGTACATGTGATTGAGTAATATCTGCTCACTATTAATGTTATAGTACTATAATAATAATGTGTGTGAAAAAAATTAGTAAAAATTGATTAGCCCATTGGTTAGAGATTAATTATCCTATACAGAATGGTGGGTCAACGAGCTTTTCTTTAAATAATATGATTAGATGTTATCCTTTATTAATAGAATGATATAATGATTGAGAGTTATACAGAGTTATTATTATGCCGATGGACAAAGAGTGACGACTTTATTTATTGAGCCAGCATTTTTTAACTACTAATTATTAAAAAATACCATGATAGCTATAGCTTTTTAATTATTCAGTATGACTAGTAAAATATATTTTATTGAGGCATTTTTTTAATTACTATACAAATTTATTATTATTGTATGAATTTATTATTACTATATTATTTTATTGTTATCATTAGACTATTATTGTTACATATATAGACATCAATATTATTTAATACTACTAATTAAATATACTAATACTAAGAATGTGATATATTAAGCACCTAATCTACTAATTTGATATTGATATAAAATATATGGATAATATATATACACTCCTATATAATTTTATTACATTGATATAACTTTGATAGTCTTTATCAATGCTTTGATTTTATAATTTTATATGATTTATCTACTGATTAATAGTACTGATACAACGACTGCTTTAATGATTTGATGCCCGTACTGGTTTTTTGATTTCTCCATTATACTACTTTACTAACTTTTGTATCACATCAATTTATTAGGTATATACTTTACTACTATTGCATATATATTTTATTATTTTTTCATTGATTCTTGATCATATGATTGTTACTATTATAAATTAACTAACGACATAGATACTACTTTTTTATCTTACTTTAAATTCATTTGTAGGTTTTAATAACATGCTGAACTTTTTAGCTTATTATATACAGTTAAATGATTTTAGGTTAGGACAAGATAGTAGAAGTGTGAGATTGATGATCAAGATACATCATATTTAGATTCTTATTTTTTTAGTTATTCTATTGCACTTAGGACAAAATTATTGTGATATGATTATATTGATCATGAGTAGTGCACATAATTTTTAAGAAAGAAATGCATATGTATACAATAATATTTTGATCAATAGTTTTATTTTTGCTGATATTTATATTGATAAAAAAATTAGGTAGTTTTGATTTTGTAAATTAAAAGATAATAAAATAATTATTCCAAATAAGATTTTAGGGCATGAGAGCCTCTATGAGAAGCTAGTAATGGATATGATCCTCACTAGAAAGATTCATAAGTGCAAGTGGGTGATAAGGTCTCCACTTATACTAGAAAGGCATGCCCATGAGGTAGCCTTGAAGGAAAGATAGTAGTGGACAAGGTTCTCACTGAAAAAAATTCATGAGAGCAAGTGATAGACATTGTCTCCACTCATAATCCGTGGGGCAATATCCCAATGCAGATCTTAAATATATGTAAAGGACTTAGTTTTTTTTAGGGGACAAGTTCACAAATTAGAATTATTCTTATATAAAGATGGATCATTCATTAAATCAAATAAATTGAAAGTAAGCATTAAGCTCATATAAAGTTCATATACAACATTATTGGATTTACATGATGATAGTATAATAAATTTCTACATCAAATTCAAACATATGGCCTTTTTCATCTAAAATATTGATACAAGCTAGAGCTGAAATTAAAATTTTATGAACTGAAGTACTTTCATTAACTTCATTTCTACATCTAGTGCTACAATATTTTTTTGCAATAATAAACTCCCAATTAGGATAAATTTTTAAGCAGCAGAATATGATGAAAAATCTTTCAAAATAATGTTAATCATCTATCATTCAAGATAAAGGCCAAAGCTGTCCCATCAAGAAATATTGGATATCACTCATAATTCTATATGAAGAACAATTTATTCTCTATAAAGAGGGACATTAAAGCTTGATAGGGGATACAACTTATTCAAGACAATGGAATGTATCTAATGTGAGAAAAAATAGAAGAGAAAGAAAAGAAAGGCAAGAGTAATTTCTTATCCATTGATAGAGGAATTGGAGCTTGATTGGGAATACCTCTTATTCAAGATACTATAATACCTCTAATGTAAGAAGAAATAGAAAAGTGAAAGAAAATAAGGGCAAGAGCAACTTATTCTCCATAAAGAGAGGCACTGGAGCTTGATATGGAATACTACCTATTCACGATAGTGGAATGCCTCTAATATAATAAGAAGTAGAAAAGAGAGAAAAGTGGGGTAAGAGTGACTTCTTTGCATAGAGGGGTACTGAAGCTTAATAAAAGATATTGCCTATTCAAGACAGTAAATTGCTTCTAATGTAAGAAGAAGTGGAGAAGAGAAAGAACAAAGGGAAATAGAATATTGGAGAGGAGAAGTGGTTCAAATTCTTCCTCTCATGAATGGGTATTTATACTTGAAGCGATATAGAAGAGTTACATAACTTTAAATGAGATAGTTATATATATATATATATATATATATATAAGGAAGAGAGTTATGTATTTTAAGGGAGATATAATAAAAAAGTGGAGAGTTACATAGCTTAAAAAACTCTCATCCTTTCAAAAAGAAAATAAAGCTCTTTCTTTCAAAAAAAAAAAATCTGAAAAAATGGAATTCTAAA